AAACAGCTTCCGGCTGTGACCTCGAGTCGAACTGTCAAGTCTTGGTTGAAAAACTGCCTTAGCCCGTTTCCCAGTTATACTCCTAGGATACGCCTAGTACAGATAAGGTCCTGCGACGTCGGCGATAGGCTAAAGGAAACTGGTTCATCCTGTTTAGTCGGGTGGAATACGAGAGTGCGCGTAGCCCAAGGACAAATTGCAAGGCTCCTCGCTGAATTGCTTCTATCTTGTCACTTTCATGCTTTGATAGAGGGGCTATGGCCGGTAGTCCGAATTCAAGGATGAGACGAATGTGGGAGGTGAAGAGAACTCTAATTATCTGCGGCGTCATTTTAGAGAATGACTTCCATATGACGCCACACACCCTGTTCGCCGCAGCAGTTTACTTTAACGCGTCCCGCGTAGTTTTAAGATCAGAGAATACTACTGTGCCCAGGTCCTTTTACCGTGTGGCAGTCTTGACTAGGTGCACGCCAATGTGATAGAATCCCAGTGGTTCAGCAGCACCGATGGAAAGAACAGAGCACTTATATTTGTTGATCGCAAACCCCACTTGATCGACCAAGCGCGTAGTAGATCAAGCGTTTCCTGTAATCGGCCGGCGTCTTCGACGCTAAACACTTCCCACCATAGCTTGATGTCATCTGCCTACGTCAGATAGTCCGTTTCTACCATACTTGGTAGGTCATTGATATATATCCTGAACAATTCCAATCCGAGAAGGGAGACTTGGGGTACGCCACTGGACATAAGCACTGGAAATAAAAGGGTATCTTTTGACTTGCATATTCAGGCCTTGCAAGAAGTCACTGGTTCATGGTAGGAGGTTCCCTGTTATGCCAATCCCACAGAGCTTAGAGAGTAGTTTCTGATGAGGGACTCTGTCAAAAGCTTTGCTGAAGTCGATGAAGACAACATCTAAATGTTTTCCAGCGTTCCTCAACTTAGCCCACCTCTCTCTTGGGACCAGCAGGTTAGTGTTGCAGGAACGTCTCTTTCGGTAGGCATGCTGAGTAGACGAACTGATGTTCAGATCTTGTAACGATTGTAAATAATTTGCTTATTTTTTATTTTTACGCTTACCTATATCGTTACAGTTGTGGTACGACTTTGTTGTAAATTAACTATGTTTATTACGATTAGCTTCTAGCTCGTATTCCCTGGTTATGTAGCCGGTCCGCGGGCGTCGAGGTAACACGTTAACAGGTAAGAGGTCGATCGATTTTTCTTTCTGTTATCCTCACCCTTTTATTCCTCTTCAGCACTTTGCCCTCCATCTTCCGTGCTTCCTTAGCTGCTTCCGTTCCATCGACCTCTTACTAGGCGGTTGAACATCCAGTCGTATCGTCATCTTGATAATGTGAATATACCCTGTTCCACTCAGCATGCCTTCCGGATGGCACGCTTGTGTGCCTCCAATCTGCTTGTGGCTAGAGAAAAATGGGCTTACTTGTTGGAATCCGGTAATCGCCCGGACGTCGTTTTTGTCGACTTCAAGAAATCATTTGATAAAGTTCCACACGAACGGTTCCTCCTTACACATCCTGGTATCGGTGTTTCTTAGGAGGTTCTCTCTTGGATCGCCGATATTTTGAAAAGCCGTAGTATGCGAATGAAAGTGAACGAAACTTACTCTGAACCTGTTCGAATGACAAGCGGAGTTCCACATGACTCCATCCTCGGTCCTAAATTGTTCAACCTATTCATCAACGACCTTCCAAGCAAGCTCTGTCCGGATTGTTTGATATATGCTGACGACTTAAAGTTATGGCCGGAAATCTTCGAGCTTGAGGATGCTTACCGATTATAAGAGACCCTTGACCGCCTGCACAGCTGGTCACTGAAGGGGCGATTGCCCATCAATTAGGAAAAGTGTTCGGTCCTCCCTGTAGGTACTCCGTACCCGGTTGGTATTTAGCACATTTGTGGCTTCTTGTTTAAGGACGCTGATTGAGAGGAGAACCTTGGTGCACATGTGTCTCCTGATTTGAGCACAACCCAAGACACATTGAGGAGGGTAGCGGCTGCCAATAGGATGTTCTGTGCAATAAGGAGATCTTTCTCTGGTATGACTCCTACTCACAACCCATGTAAGCCCCATCCTCGAATACGGCTCATCCGTGGATTATCCGCTTACAAACACATAACGTGTGCTGATAGAGCGGATCAAACAACGAGGGTCAAAAGCTACCTCTGCGTTCCGCAATTCGTCATACGACACGCGACCTCGAACGATGAAAATGTTTGCCCTCGATTATCGTCGTCGTCGTGGTGACATGATTTACACAGGACGCATTGTGCGAGTGATGAATGGAAATGAAATAAAGAAGTTTTTTCAACTCAGTGTTAATAGCTCGACGAGGATTCCCTCCTGGAAACTGTTTAAGCCAAGGATGCTCCGAGTCCATCCTGTGTGGTGACTGACTGGAACAATTTCCTAGAGCCAGTCATCAGCGCACAGTGAGAAAAGTTTCAAACGACTGTTGGATTCTTATGTGCTAAGCAATAAAAATAAAATAATGTGTCAACTGTACGCCGCAACGGCGCTTCTCTGCCGTGCGACCAGCACCAGTCGCACGCGGGCTGAGTAAACCGCGAAGACGCCTACGCCATCGCGGTTTCGACACCGCGCAGCAAGATTATGACACAAGCTCGTTACCCCTAGGCTGCGTGCTGAGCAATACAAGATCGTGTCTTTTTCGCTGCGATCGTGTCGGTCCCCTATGAACAGCGAATCACAATGATCCACGAATCCCTGCCTCAAACGGGAAGCGAAGGAGCTGACATGGGATGCCCCCTTCTGCCCTCTACCACTTTAGTGAACAAATGTTACACTAACTAAATCGTCTACCGTAGGCACCAATCGCTTTTGGAAACTTTCACTTGAAACCTTTAAATCAAACTTTTTGCGCAGACAATGATAACGACCGAGCGGTGTGGATAAGATGTATGGAAGTTGGATTCTTCATTAAGTGCTATGTGCCAGAATGCGGAAGCCAGGTCTACCTTCGTGAAATAATTATCTTTGGCCAAACGCGGTAAAATGTCTTCAAGGGTAGGCAGCACATGATGCTCTCTACGTAGAGCCTCATTCAACGATTACGGTCCAATACACACGCGTATTTCGCTCGTCTTTTCGTTATGGCTAAAACCTGATTAACTCAGTCGGTTTATTCGTCAGCATTGGTACTTCTTTTTGAACGATGACAGAGACAAGCAATTTGGAGGCGATGAATCCTCTATGATTATCGCATTCCAATCTTGTGCATCCCTTGAAAATTGGCACTATGACGGAGCGCCTCCAGTCGGTTGGGACAGTTTCCTGCCCCCACAGCATCACTAATAACTTGTGTAGAGCATACAAAGAGCAGATACACAGAATTTGAAGAGTTCTGGAGGAAGATTATCTGCTCCCGCAACGTTATTTAAATTCACTTCGAAACTAGCCTCGGTTGGAGCGTATCGGCTTCCTGAGTAGTGTCTGAAAGATGATGAGCACATTTGGCTTGATGCATCTACTGACATGACTTGGAACCAGCCTCAGTTGCGTTCGTCCTGTGAGTTTCTTTGTCCCGCCCTGGCCATGTTAGCCTCCCCCTCCAACCGGTGTCTCATTACTTAGCGTAGTATAATTTTTCTTAATAATCTTTATATTGCTGCATACTAGCCGGCTGGTAGCTTTCCGGAACGATGTCCATCTGTTACTGGTAGCTCAGCTGGCATGCATCTGCTGCACGTTTTTTTCGCTTTTTTATTTTATGTATTGCGGCAGAGTAACTGAAGTGTTATCCACCTCTAGATAACGTGTATATTGATGAGGATGTCTTGAGGTTAGGTGTCGGATGATAGCCTTCTGGGCAGCAGTACCTGCACAGCTTAAGTGCCGTGTAGTAAAAGAGAATACTAGGAAACAGTGAGTGTTTATTAGACCCTGTCGGAGTTTAGTAACGTTCTGGTGCCAGAAAGTCCCTTAATTTAGTTTCTTTATTCCGGACCGACTGTGCTTCAACACATTATAGAGCCGGAATCCTACAAGAATTTTCCTGCTTTGCACCTTGCCATGTAAGTGATATACTATCCTTTACTACTAAAAACTTGCCGATTTCACGGAAAATACGCTGCATTTGGCTGCTCTTGTCTGGGTAGCTCGTCGAACAGCCCCGTGGTGCTCACTGAGTGACTCGGGTTAATGATCCATCTCCATCAAATGATTCGGCGGCAGTGTTCCAGGACGTGGTGGGTTACCGCCTGGCAAGCGTTCTCCATATAGAAGCCACAGCTCTCTGTTAAACAATACTGTGACGTAGCGGATGTGACTCGCTGCTAACTAAAGTCTCTGCTTTTGCCAATCCGGATGATACTACGCACTCCACAGACGTCAGTTACTAGGTGCAAATACCCTTTCTCAAGCTGATGATCCGACCGAACACAGTTCCAAATGTAGCGTCGCATTTGCAACTTCAAACAATAGCTTTCTACATTAATACGTACATATACACATATATTCATCCAATATGATACTAGTAAACTTGCAACATAATTGAAGAATTACCGATCATTTATGTTATTCGCATTGTCGAGGATAGTGTCTGCTCATTTACAAACATTATCTTTGCAACACTATACATTTTGCACCGATTTAGTTTCACCAAATCACAACAGGAAAGCATCCGCTAAAGTAAACGGCTTCACAGTAGTATCACTGAGCTGTAATGACTGTCCCCAGTTTGCACTACGCCAGAGTCGTCTAATGTAATGCGGTCTGATAAACGAATTTTCACAGATGAAGATGGAGATGAGTCGACAAATTTCGAAATGCTTCTAAGGGCTCTTTGAGAGAGCGGTACTCTTAAAACTTCATACAGTACAGGAAATCTGCATGTCCGAGTATCTGTCTTATTTGGAGATTCGTATGCCATTTGAGTTAAATGAAAATGGGAAACCCCACCCTTTTTTGGTCACTTTGCTTCAAGTATTTTCAATTCTATGATTTTCAGGTAGAATTCAAAGAGTTAGAAAAGCAACGAGCATTGTGGCTTTGACCTACTTACACAATCAGCTTGTTTCCTGACTATGAAGGTTGCTTTCGTAAGTTTTTCATGATTTTCTCATTCTTCAGGTTACTGGTTCCAATAAGGGGATAGGATTTGGAATTGTTGCAAAATTGGCACATGCTTATGGTTCCACCGGAGAGTGGGATGTCTACCTAACAGGTAATTTCTTATCGTTATCGAACTGATATGCAGCTCGAAATGTTGATTTGGGCAAAAAAGCTTGTGAGGAATTAAATGGCAGAGGCCTCCATGTTAAGTTCCATCAGCTGGATATTACCGATGCTGAGAGCCGGAAAAGTTTCTTGTCATACATGAAAGCCCATTATCCAGACGGGATCAACATCGCCGTTAATAATGCTGGTATTCTTTATAAAGTAACCTCAACTTTTTGCTCGTCACGTTGCAGAACGACTCAACAGCTCCGTTTGGCGAACAAGCTAGAGTTACTGTGCACACTAATTTTACCTGTACCCTTGATTTCACATTGGAATTCCTTCCTCTTCTTGCAGAGAACGCCAGGTATACTTTGGAGTAACGTACCTCAATTCTGCAGAGTTGTCCACGTGTCTAGCATATTCGGACACAGGACACTGAAAAAATTGGGAGATGAGTTGTACGCTAAATTTACTTCAGTGATGAGTCTGGACGAACTGAGAGCTTTGGTTGGGGAATTCGTGAAGTGAGTCGGTTTTTCTTTTTTGTCCCTGTACTTCCATCTCATACAACCAACAACATTTCTTCTGCTATCTGCAGGTGCCTTTGGGCCTTACAAATTAGCTGATGTGGGCTCTGTTTACTCAAAGGAAGGCCTGAATTGGTCTGATGAGCGTTCTAATGTCCATATAGTTGTAGCGAGCAGGAAGCTTTGTCATGTGCTTTGCTTTCCGTTCGTTACACACTGAAGCGAAACGACGTTCTTCTGGCAGCTGCGTGAGAAGCAGAAACCCCATCGTTCTCCTCAGTCTGGCATTTAACAACAATCTGCAAATTTTCTCTAAATTTGCGTCGAGAGTGAGCATCTGCAGACTTCTCCAGTCATACAAAACTCGGGTGAAATGGACGATATTGAGATGAATTTGAAGCCTTTGCGGTTTCTTGTCGTCGGCGCTAAGCTAAAGTAACTTATATGACTTCCTCCGAATCATCAGCAAACAACAACAACAGTACATTAGCCACTCCATCTGAGACTTCGCTGCCATACAACCATGGTAACCTGTGGAATAAAGAATAATAAGTGGGAGTGAAGGGAGGACCTAATGCCCTAAGCAAACATTCCTCGTCAAGGCGCCTACACCGTCGAGTGCTCATCATTGCCTCGTACTCACTCACTCACATCATGTTTGCTGACAAGCTGGTGCCACCCGACACCAGCAATGCACGATAGACAGCGATGATCGATGACTTGAAGACGCCTGAGCTCATCAGACTGAAGGTGCCAAATCTCACTCCCATAAAACAGGACGGGCCCCACTGTGGCCTCGTACACTTCATTCCAGAAGGAGAGAAATCCTCTTCTGTCGCCAAAGATGCTGCAGGTTCAAGAATGCATCCCTGGCTTTTGCAATGTATGAACTGACTTCAGTTCTTATGCGCCCATCGTTGCTGATGCAGCTACTAAGGTACCTGCGTCGATCAACGCCCTCGAGTTCCTCATTGTCTGGGTTAAAGGTATCATCAAGTGGTGGTGGTTCTTCAACAACACTTTACACATTAACATTGCGAAGCGCATACCAAATAATGGGACCACTCTACACAGGTTATTCAGGGTCGATAATGCTGCTGCAACACCGCTAACAAGCAAGACAATATCGTCCGCAGAACCAAGATAAACTAGCTACTCATCAGACAGTAAGTCGACGCTTGTATCGTGAGGCTCCCTAAAGGAACACACCACGATGCAGTCCACGACGAAACTGAACAAAAATTGGGAATTTGGGCAACCCTGACGAATGCCACTTGTTGTCGAAAAGGCATCCTACAAATCCTTGTAGACCCTAAGGCAGCCTGTGGTGTTCGGCTATGGACCACTTCATCATCATCTTTATACACGTCAGCTAGAAGTGGGAAACACCTCAGCTGCTGTGCCATAATACATAAAGGGAAAGGAAAATAAATAACACAGTTGCATGCCAGCTGAGCTACCGACAACGGATGGGCATCGTTCCGGTAAGCTACCAGCCGGATACTAGGCAAAAAGAAAAACTATCATGTTTTACACTATGAAATGAGATCGTAGGTGAAAGGGGAGGCTAAATGGGATGGGGATGGACAAAGAAACTCAGAGCAGGAACGCCACTGAGGTCGACTTCTTGCCATGTCATCAAGTGTTTCCAGCCAAACGTGTTCACCATCCTTTGGACCCCAACCAGGGAGCCGTGATGCTCCAACCGAGGCAAGCTCCGACGTGGGGCCTACATTCCTCTCGACCAAGTTATCGCTTGGACGCCCCTCCTCTTCTTCCATCCACATCCCTGGTGAGCAAACAACGCACATCGTGGAAGTCGGTGGGCTGGCATGCCCAACACGTGGCCCAGCCATCGGAGCCTGGTGGGTGAAATGACGGTGCTGAGCGGTTCAGATCCTTTTTCTGTGCCGTAAACAAGGAATCGAACACGGTCGCTACACACCCGGTGTTCCCACCAGATGTGAGACAAACTGCGAAGACACCGATGGTCGGACGCAACTAAACTCTTCATGTCTGCTGATCTTAGTGGCCAGGTTTCGCAACCGTACAAGTGGGTCGAAAGTACCGTTGCATTGTAAACTCTACCCTTCAGGGCGAGAGTAATGTCGCGCCGCCGCCATAGGTGGCGAATGTTATCAAAAGCACTTCAAGCTTTTGCCATACTGTTCGTCATCTCCTCTTCGATCCCAAGGGTGGACCACTTAATCATCATTATCATACACGTTAGCTAGAGGTGGAGAACACCTCAGCTACTGTGCCGCAATAAGCAGAAAAAAGGAAAAAATGAATTCAACTGGGGCAAGCCGGCTGAGCTACCGGTAACGGATGAGCATCGTTCCGGTAAGCTACCAGCCGGTTATGGACCCCCAATTCTCGGACCATTTAATAGATTTACATAATTCATGGGAACACGTTTCACGCAAGTATCTAGAACATTTATCATTCATTTATTATGCAAGTTAGCTGCAGATGGAAACACCTCAGCTATTGTGCCGCATTACAAAAGATTAGAAGAAGAAAATAACGAAGAAGAACAGGCACTGGCACGCCGGCTTAATCTCAAGTAACGGATGGACATCATTCCGGAGAGCTAACAGCCCGCTGTTGTGCCGCAAGATGTTATATTATGCCTAACGAGTGAGATCGTGATTGGAGGGAGATGTTAAGCAGGAGGGATATGGACAAAGGAACTCAAAACACAAAAGCCATGGGGGCCGGCTCCTAGCCATATCAGCAAGTGCGTCCAACCAAACGTCATCATCGTGCTTTGGACCCCAACCAGGCAGTCTGAATGCACCAACCGACGAGAACTTCGAAGTGAGAGTTTTCATTGCTCTTCTTCTTCTCTTCTTCTCTCTTTCTCTTCTCGCTTGGCCTACCCTCCTCTTCTTCCAACCGCACGTTCGGCACGCAAACAATTCACGTCACGGGAGTCTGTGTGCTGGCATGCGCAACACGTGGCCCATCCATCTGAGGCTGGTGCGTGACATAATGGTGCTGAGTGGTTCACTCGCACTTCATGAATCAAATACTCGACGCTGAACACGCTCATTGCTCACGCGGTGCTGCCATCAGATATGAGCTGAGCTGCGAAGGCAGCTGTGATCGAATGTGACGAGCCTCTTTATGTCTGTCGATCTGATGGGCCAGGTTTCACAGCCATATAGGAGAGTTAAAAGAAAGGCTGTGTTATAAACTCTGCCCTTCAGGGCAAGAGTAATGTCGCTTCTGCGCCAGAGGTGGCGGAGATTGGCAAAAGCCCCTCAAACGTTTGCTCTACGGTTTGCAACCTCATCTTCGATCCCATGGGCGCTAAAATAGCTGCCCAGTTACTTGAATGCCTGAACGACTTCTATCAAATCACCACAAAGCTTTAGCGCAGGGATGGGTCCCTGCCAATCTTGTAGACGTACATTGCATTTCGATGGAGCAAAGCATAGCCCAAAACGACAGACAGCCAGTGCTAATCGATCGAGTGCTGTTTGACAGGTTTGGGAACTGTCACAGATCAGGGCAATATCGTCCGCGTACTCCAAGTCAAGAAGTCGCTCACCAGGAATACGTTCAACACCTCCTAGTTCGAGTACAGCGAATGCTGATTCCATGACTTCGTCAAATGCGAAGTTAAATAGGAAAGCTGAGAGCGGCAACCTTGTCTCACACCGCTGGGGATACTGAAGAGTGGCGACAGGTTGCCATAAACCCACACTGTGCCCAAAATATGCGCATGCAATGCTTGCCTCAGCAGAAAGTCCCAAAGGGAATATCGATCGGCCGAGTCGAAGGCACTTTTATGTCAAGAAACATGACAACGGTGGGTCACCAATAAATTTGGCGGTGCTCCAAAAATTGACGCATGGTGAAGATGTGGTCGATGAAGCCCCGACCTCGACGAAACCCGGTTTGCTGTTCACGAATCTGGCTTTCACCGGTGCCAGTCAGTCTGTGGAGAATGACGGAGGCAAGCCATTTGGAGGCAATTGAGATCCGGCTGATCTCTCTACGACTGACCCATTTCGAACTGGGCCCTCTCTTGCAAATTGAGACTATGACGTAGCAGCTCCAGTCTATCGGGAAAGTCTCCTGTTCCCAGTGTTTCACTAGCAATTCGTGTAGATCATCTACTAGAGCAGACCATCCGCATTTAAAGAGAGCTGGGGAAATTCTATCTGCCCCTGTGGCCTTATGCAATTTCAACAGCCTGATCTCACGTTTGACTTCTGCGCGTGAGGGCGGATCCAAGTTGACGGGCCAGGGAGAAGAGCGCTCGATGCCCGAAAAAGGAAGCGATAAGTCAGGTTGGTTAAGTTGCCTTGCAAATTGTTCGGCCCAACGCTCCAAGGTTTTTGACAGGCTGTGGATCTGCTGCTCACTGTCGTCGTGTATGGTCTCGCTAACTCCAGGTCTCCTGCTGACAAGTGGCACTGAAGCGTCGGCACGAATCACTGATATTCTGCTGACGCACTTCATTTTTCAATCATTGTTATGCTGACTAGCTCGTCGAAGTGTTGCCGCCAACCTGGATGAGATTTTATAGGTATTCATCTTTGTTAGTGGTCAAGATTGAGTATGATGAATTCGCGAAACCATTGGTGTGCTCATACCTTCTCCTTTACTGATATGTCTTAATACTTTAGTTTAACTTTGCTTTTGCTCCTTTCCTCTATGTTGAGCAGCTTTCTCTGGTGATACGCACTATGGCAACTGGATTTACGGAGCTTCACCATACTGATCGTATTCGATCTACGAAACTAACTGAACTTCTTTTATCTGTAACTGATACCTCAGACATTCACCAAATTTATTGGAGCCACGGTGTACTTAATTGTTGTGGTGTATCATTAGACCTTCTAGCATTGTATTGGATTACTTGGCAAATGTCAGTCGTACACGCACTTACTGACACACGCTCTTCATTTGTTTACCGACCGACTTCCTCATTATGTCTTCTCGTTACATCTGTTTAGACTAGGCGCCTGTGCGGTTAAATCATG